GCTTCGGGCTTCCTGGAAAACCTTTTGAGACCCAGGTTTGTACAAAATGGAAGTGACTCGGAGGGAACGGGAAGGGAGGGGAGGGAGAAGGCGAGTGGGGAAGCTTGGGAATGGGATGGAGTGTCTGATCTACCTTCTTTGGATGATCTTGATCTTAGCGATCACGAAGAGCAGGAAGGAGGGGGATTAGAAGGGGAGAGGAAGCGAGGAGAACTGGAGGAGCAGATCCATCTCGTCTTCCCAACACCTCTTCACTTTTCCTTCGCCAACTCGGATCCGACCGTCAAGGGAGCCTTGACCCATCTTCTCACTTCGAGCTTAGAGGCGGCCTGCGAGAATGATTCGATCCTCCAACTCAGAAGATCCTCCCTCCTCCTCGCCGGCCACGTCTCCACGACATGGATAGCCGGGGTCGTAGCGAAGCCCCCTACCGGATCCGACGTCGGGAGTCGAGCGAGTTGGTTGGAGATGGTCGAGGAGAAGGAAGGCTTGGGAACGAGGAACTATTTCCGAATCCTCGATCTCAGCGTCCATCCCCCTCCCTCCAAGGTCAATGGTGTCGTCGAAGTCCAGAGGTCAGCCGACCGACTGTGCTTCTACCTACCAGGGATCATCAGCTCGCTGGTGCGGCTCGTGACAGGCAAAGTTAGAACCAAAGGTCGGGAGGAAGGTGAAAGCGCCAAGAACAGTGCTGGAAAGAGTTCTACTCCGGGAGAGCTCGTCGCGATCTCCCTCTTACTCATTAGGGATACCCTCCTGATATGTCTGGGTGATGACTCCACCGCCCACTTGCGGGCAAAGTTCGAGGACACAATGGAAGGAGTCTATGTTGGTGAAGCTAATCTTGTCGAGGAAGAAGGCTCCAAGGGCAGGGTCAGAACCTTGGAAGACTTCGCCAATCTTTTCAGCTCGAAAGACCAAGGTGAGACGGGAGCGGATCAAGTCGAAACTCCACCATTGTTTCGCGGTGGCGTGATGGAGTTGGATGCCGAGGATGGCCCTACAGGGGAAGGGGAAGAAGTGCTCGAGCAGCTGCCCCTCCCACCTTGCGAGACCAAAGCTTCGACCTTGGCCTATTCCGAGAGGGAAAATAAGGAGGCGACCCGAAGTCGGGAATGGCTCTCCACGACCCTGATCAAGGTCTCCCTGGCTCTCAGGAACCTCTCCTTCCTATCCAGGCCCTCGGGTCCCTTGGCCTTGGTGCCTTCCAACGTCCATCCCCTAGCTCAAAAGGCTTTGATATCGTTGACAGAGGATCTTGCCTCGGAAGTTGGTCAGGGCCTCCTCTGGTGTGAAGAGAAGATGCTACAGGACGACTTCGGTGAGGCCTCGACGACGAATCACTCGGGCTTGACGGATGGGAGACGGTTGGACGAAGGAGGCATCATGTTCACCCTCCTGACATGGCTCATCGACCTCTCCAATGAGCGAGGAGGTTCCGAGTCGGTCAGGGATCGATCCAGGGAGGCCCTGACGTCCATCTTTGATGATGAAGAGAACGTCCTAAAGGGAAAGGCAAAGGCAAAAGTCAGGAAGAGGCTCTTTGAATGCTTGGAGTTGAGGATGATGAAATCCATCGAGGCTTTGACTGAAGCTATCGAGTCGAGATCGGACGATCAAGCCTCGATCGAGGCTTTCAGGTTGACCTCTTGCCTCTCCCTCGCTTCAGGTGCCACAGGCAAAGGGAGGGAGGAGTCAAGCAAGGGTCTGATCCATTGCTCTCAACTTGTCCAAGGCTTGAGGATGACCTTAGGTCCTCAAGGCCTTTTGGAGACATGGGGGGATCGATTGATCCGAGCCTTACGGCTAAAGTCGGATGGCAAGCTTGAGGACGATTTGGGTTTGGGCTTGCACAGCTGGCCTCCGAGGCCTAGGCTAGAGCACCTTGAGAACCAATCCAAATCGGCTATCCTCGACATGTTGAGGGAAGTGGGGAGAGCCGTGGGAAGGCTGAGCTTGAACGCTGCCGGACTCTGGCCAGTCGAGATGAAGGAAGTTGGCGACGAAAAGGCCCGACTTGCCCTAGGTTTGGCCGACTTTGAGGTCTGTCTCTACTTCTTGAGAGAGGGCGCAAGGTTCAGGACCTTTGATATCGATCGTAATCCCGGTGGTCATGATGCATCGGATCAAGAAGGCTCTCCACTGGAAACGGGAGCCCAAGTTTGGAGAACGAGGTCGACCTCCTGCTTGCTGATCGCCTCGGAGATCCTCCGAGGATGTTCCGAAATCTTGGACGACGAGAGGTTGTCCAGGTCGGTCGGGAAAATGGGAAGGAAGCTGAAGAAGCTGGCAAACAAGTTGGGAAAGCAAGTCTACGAGATGGTCATCGAAATCTGGGAGAATGACGTGGAAGAGTTCCTGCGATTGGGCGAGGACGATGGCGTCGAGGCTGGGTCTGAGGATTATGGTGGAAGGAGGTGGAAAGGTGAAGGGAAACCAGGCGAGGGGAAGTGGTCTGGCGAGCTTTCAAATCCTCCTCGGGACCACATTATCAAGGAGACCCTGACGCAGGTTCATAAGGGCTTGATAGAGCCCACAGATCCCTCCGGCATGGATGATGGGATCAAGAATTTTGGTCCTGCTTTGAACCTTTCCTTCGTCAGGCATGCCAAGATCGACGGCATTGGAGGAGGGAGGAGGGCCGAGATGGTCCGGTCAGGACAACATCTGAGGGTCTCGGTCTCAAGGGCCAAGAGGAGCATTGATCTATCCAACGCATTCCTCTTCTCCTTGATCTCATCGTCCTCCATCCTCCTGGGAACGCTCTTCAGGCCTTACCTGTTGAAAAGTCTCTACCCCATCCTGAGCGGGCTCTCCTCCACCAACGCCTGGATCGCAGAATCGGCTAGGCACGCCATGGAAGAGATTTCCCGGTCGTGCGCTTACGCCAGCGTTCAGGGATGCATCCTGGATCATGCCGACTACATCCTCGGCTCGGCGGCTCAAAGGTTGGTCTGGAACTTGGGCGAGGAGTTGAACCTGAGCTTGAACGAGGATATTGATCAGGAAGACCGCCTCCCGGCCGATCCGTCCAGCGACGAAAAGTGGATGATCGCCGCCAGTCAAGCGTTTCGAACGCAAATCAAACCCCTTCTGAGCTCGCAGTCGGCACCCATGGTGCTGGTCGAGGTGATCAGGATTCTGGGCTCGGAAGCCGTGCCACTGGTGGAGGACGCTCTGGACGAGATACTCGACACCTTGGACAAGTATCACGGTTTCAAAGAAGTCTGCGAAGGCCTCTTGAAAGTCCTGGACGGCGTCCTCGACGCCTTGAGCGAGGAAAACAGGCAAGCTCGAGCAGGTAAGGACGAGTCGCCCGCGCCTGAACCAAAGATCCGGGTCGTGGAAGACGATCGGGCTCCTCTTCAAGATGACGGAGAGGAGGAAGCGTTCAGAGAGTTTGAGGATTGGTTCGGAAAGAGGAGGAGGACGGGTGGAGGAGATGGTCAAGGGGAGGAGGAGGAAGACGTCGTTTTCGAGAAGCTAGCGGCAGGGACTGCGGATGCGGCAGGACCGAGTCGAGAGGGCAAGAATCCGGATCCCGACTCGAAGTTTGGAGAGAACAGCAGCAGCGGACCATGGAAGGAAAACGGCGAGGCCAATCCGCCGCCACCCACCAAGACCCAAGAGGTCGTTGTCCAGATTATGAAAAAGTCGCTGCCCTTCCTGAGTCACGCTTCGCCACTAATCCGATCCAGAGTCCTGGTCATCTTGAGGAACGGGTCCGAGATCCTAGGATCTCAGAGGAGGGATACCGAGCTCTTGCCGATCGTCAACAAGGCCTGGCCCTTCGTGATGAGCAGGTTGGGATACGCGACAACCACCAAGAGGAGCACCGACCAAGGTTTGGGAGGAGGAGGTCGCGAAGACATCCTCGTGCTCGGTTGGATGGGACAAGGTGGGTCGAGAAGGCCCTTCAGCGGGAAGGACGATCGAGGCGAGAGCTCCTCGACCCCTACCGAGAGCGAACCTTGGGTCTGGATCCACTCGATCGACCTGATCAGCTCCCTATCTAAGCAAGCCCCGGACTTTCTCTCCAAGAGATTGGTCCAGGACTACTGGCCAAGACTGAGAAACCTACTCGAAGGGCTGCAATGCGAGCGGCCCGTCGTCGGTCCCTCTTTGCTGAAATCCCGGGAGGGAACGACGATACCGGTGACGTTCAGGATCGGACCCTACAACGTCGAGGATCGAGAAGCCAAGGTCGGACCATCTGGTGATGGACAAGTGACGGCCAGGTCTAGGGTCGCGTTCTACCACAGCAACTCGACCAACGACCTCGTCCTGTGCTCGATCATCAAAGGACTCAAGGTGATGCTGAGGTCTGTCAAGGAGAGGTTACCGGAAACGCTGACGTGGGAGATCCTCAACCACCCCACCCTCTGGCGCTCGGTCGAGCAGAGCGACGGCAACGAAAAACTCATGGACGAGGCAACCCAGCTACTGCAAGAGCTGAGGAAGAGGAACCCGGACGCTTTCTGGCTTGCCTTCCCTGATTGGAAGGGATGAAGCTAAGGGACGGGTACGGGTTGTCGGGCAAAGACGGGGGCGGGGATTGGTCCGGAGTGTTGATCGAATGCTGCAATCGTTCCCGAGACTCTCTGAGGCTCTCTCTCTCTCTCTCCATCTCCTTCACGTCCGACCATGTAAAAAGCGTTAGAGTTCCTGGTTCAGTGTTGGTCGGAAAAAAAATAGAAAGAAAGAGGACATAAAATCAAAGCAAAATAAGGAGTAAACCCACCCCACTCGGCCTTTCTCAATTTGGAAAGAAATCACGAACCGTGGCTGAACCTGAACGTTGAAATCAGCTCTGGGCGATCGCGAGCTCTATGGGAATTGGCTGGACGACAAGGAGAGAGGCAGCCGCTCTTCTACTTTTCGGAGGAGAGGGAGGAAGAGAAAGAGCAAGGTGAACACCCCCCGCTTGTCCATACTCTGATTCCTTTTGCATCGAATTACTTAGGTTTATATACTTATGACCTGTCGGGAAGGATATCATCGGGGCTTTAGCTCAGTGGTAGAGCGCCTGCTTCGCATAGTTCTCCGTTTCCGGCGTTAAAGATGACGAGTAGGAGGCCCTGGGTTCAAACCCCAGATGCTCCAACTTTTTACTTTTGGATTTCTTTTTTTTATTTTCTTTCAAAATCGCCCGTCATCCTCTTGCCTCTCGTATTCAGTCAACTTCCATCTCTCCCGTATCTTGGCTTGATTTCGGCAAAGCCGTCGAACCCGACCTCAGGCTCACCCATTGGAAGAGGTAGAATGTCTACAGATGACGTAATCGCGCTTCCGCGAAGTATGTTGGACGATGGTAGGGGTGCGCGAAAAGTATCCAAGGTAGCACAAGTCGCGTCACAAACTTTGATGGCTCTAGCCCACATGAATGCTGTGGTTTTTACGGAGCAAGAGGATGGTGGGCTTTGACGGACAGGTCTGTTCTATCATTTCTCTTTGTTTCTTCTCGTTTCCCTTCTTCTCTAAAAGATAGGATCTGGATTATCTCCGTTAGAGATCAAGAACGAAGGGAGAGTTTGTTGACAAGTGCGAATCTCTTTGTGGGCAGTGGGCAGGGGGTGGACACGGGGTACGCATGAGTGGCGGACATGTATCAAAAACTGAGAAGAGGTTGAAAGGATGAAATGGGTGAGGAAAGGTCCATCGAAGGGGGTGCGGGGGGTGGTTGGGATATCCCCACCCTGGTCAATCTGTCTAAGCTATCAGAGTCCCTTGGTGTCCCTCCTCCTCTCCTCCCTCTTCTCCTGCCACTCCTTGGCTCGACCCATCATGACCAGCCTCTTCTCCTCCAAAGACCTTCTCTCCAACTCCTCGGGGCTCGTTCCCAAACCTTTTGTTCCCTCCGGAGCCATCTTGAAGACCTTGAGGGCGTGGGGTCGGATGGTGAGCTCCGGTAGCTCTTCTTTGAAGGGTCCACCTTCCAAAGGTTGGAGCTCTCTCGTCTCCGCGCTGTAGGTCTCGAAGTCGACACCCTGCCAGAGGTCGTAGGCATCCCAGGCACGATCCCCATGGTCCCCTTCCGAGAGGTACTCGTCCAAGAAGACGTCTTCGAAGGAAACCTTGACCTTCTGCTCCTTGTTGGAAAAGTTGATGACCGCGACGGCGTAGGTACCGTTGGAGAGGGAAGACTTCCAAAGTTGAACGTTCCCATCGCCGCCAGAGTCTTCGACCTTCCTCTTCCAAAGTCGAATGGCGGGGGAGCTAGCCACGTCCTGAGAGATGTCGATGACGTGCTTATTGGTGAGGATCGCCCTGGTCTGGTTGGTCATCGCGGTCACCACGTTTCCCATGATGAGTGGGGATTTGACCATCGACCACATGGTGAAGTGGACGATCTGCTCATCCCTCGTCATCCCCTTGTTCCCCACCTCGAGCATGTCCAGATCGTTCCAGGCTCCAGGGTAGGCTTTCTGACCTAGAGGTGCCGCGAACTCCAGGATCTTGGCCACCGAGCAGTGGAAGCCAGGCAGCTTGCAGTTCTGCATGTCTTCACAAGGGCACCGATCGTCATACCTGTTAAAGCTCGGGTAGATGTCTCCAGAGATCCTCCAAGAGTTTCCGATCGTCGGAGCCCAGTTCTCCACGGCGTCCATCCCCCACTGACAGAGCGAGTAAATCATGGGCTGCCCTGTCTTGTTCAGCGCATTTGTCATGGCGAAGTATCGGTCCCTCGATAGTTGAGAAGTACCTTCCCTTCCTTCATTGAAGCAGTTGTCATACTTCAGGTATTCGAATCCATCTTCTGCCCATGCTTTGGCATCTATCTCCTCGTAGTCGAGCGATCCGATGTGGTGTCCGCAAGTCATGGTGCCAGCGGAGGAGTAGATACCGGCCTTGAGGCCCAACGCGTTTATCTCGTCGACGACCGCCTTGAGTCCGCGAGGGAATTTCTTTGGATCGGCGGGGATGACCTTGGTCTCCGGATCCCTCTGATCCGCCTGCCAGCAGTCATCGATGACGACGTAGTTGTAACCGAACTTGTCCAATCCCTCGGCCTTGATCGCCTTGGCAGCGTCGAGGATGATGTTCTCGTTGATATTGCAACCATAACTGTTCCACGTGTTCCAACCCATCTGAGGAGTGAGAGCCAGGCCATTGTCCAAGGCCTTTGTGAAACTGGCCAAGACAAGGGGGATCAAAGCTACGAAGATTGTGCTGAACTTCATGGTTCCAAGGTGTCCAGAAAGAAAGGATGTAGTGAGGAGAGGTGGAACCCGGGTGGGGCGGGATAGGTGCGGGAGTGGCTGGTGTTTAACAGGATGTGGTGTCAAATAACGGGAGGGACGAACCTTTATATATCCGCCGCTGTGTTTGCTTCTCTTCTCCCATCCTTTGACGATTGGGAGAGATGCTCATCAGGCTTTGGTGAAGACAATCCTCGAGCAGGAAAAAAAAAGTGTGGGGAAAGAAATCTACCCAAACTCGGGTACGCACACACCCTCCTCTGCAGCTGATCCCCCTTCCGAACCATCACCGAGACCATGTGGGGTTTCGCTCTTTGTGGATTGGAGAGTGTGCGAATAGGAAGCACATGGAGCAAGGAGGGGGGGACAAGATGATATGAGCATGGCATGGTAGGTTGGGGTCCCCTCGATAGATCCCTTGCTGGGGGAAGGAAAGATTAAAAAAAAAGCGACCAGGCTTCTTTTTCCCTCTCCCCCTCAGACAGATTGACCTTGATGTTGGTTGAGATACAAAAATTTTTTTGGGGGGAATCCAAGCTTGCTGCCGACTTTGTCAAGGTTAGGTGGCGAGGTGGTGCTGATGGTCAGATGGCCCCACGTTGACGGAAGTCGGGTAGCAAGGCATTCTACTTTCTTTTCTTTCCCCTCTCCTCTGGCCAGAGTCTTGGGGGGTAAGACAAGACACCGAGTCGCATGAGCAAAAGCGGGTCATACTTCCTTCTCCTTTCACCTCGCATTTCTTCGTTTCGGTAACAGGGGTGGGAAGGAACTCGCATTTGATCGAAAGAGGTTGGTCGAGTGCCACTACTACCAGCGCGAACAACATCCAAAGTGACTTCTTCTCCCTTGGCAAGAGCTTGGGGGCAGGAGCAGAGCGGGTGAGGATCGGCTGAGAGACTCTTTGCGTTGAGGAGGTCGATGATCGCAGATCCAACATGTTTCCCAAAGGACAGAGAGAGGAGGCTTTGTGTTGCATGATTGGTTTTGGGATCAGTAGTCTCGCCTCCACCTCGCTATTCTTCCGTCCAGCTCAACTGCCCGACTTGGCCTTCCAGCGAGAGGATGTGGGGAGACAAGAAATCTCCTTTCCCCGGATTATTTCCTTCCCTTTCTCGTTGTGGGGGGAGTGGGGGGACAGGGGATGAGCTTGGATCCGGAAAGGTGGCTCATTGTTGGATCTCTCATCGCTCTCTCCCCCTCTCTCATGCCGCCGCCCTGCCCGTTTTGACTGTTCTGTGCCGGGGGCGGAAGCCAGATTCCCCCACTCTGGGATCTTGCACCTTGTACTCGGCGAAACCTTGATCCAAGTCTGTGCATACCAAGCTGAGCTTCATCGCCTCTTCCCAAATCGTCTTTCCCCCTTCTCCGCTCTTCAGGGTTGCCGTGGTTGTCAGTCTCCACCCCAATCTCCAAGCTACTGCGAAGATGGTTTGGCGCCTGCCAAATCGGAGCTTTGCTCCTCCGTCATCAACCCGCCAACATGCCCCCTTCCTCGCCTTGTAACCAAACCGTCCTTTCGCTTCCTCGCTTCCAATCACAGTTTGACCGATTCTCCACCAAATTTCATGCGCCCCACCCCGGTTTTAACCACCCACGTCCCGGCGCTTGAACGGCGTTCTGAGTGAGGAGAACGGTCAGAGAGGTATCGACAAAATTGCCGAAGTGGACAGGAACTGCTTTCGTCGATTGAGCATCACTACGATTGCCGCTGATCCGCTTGCTGATGAAGAGAGGGGTGAGATTGGGAAAGTTCGTCGCTGATGTATGCCAGGCTGATGTTGTCCATGGACACGCTGGCGTGGCTCGGTTGTGGACGGACAGAGGGGCAAACAGCGACCAAGCGGATGGGGGGAAAGCACGGAAAGAAACTAGGAACAGGATCAATTCTGACTGTCTCGGGAACCATGTCGCTCCTTCACTCTTCTTACACCCTGCCGCCGCCCTTCCTTACAACCACTTTAGGGATGCGGACTCACCCACCTCCCCCGCGGTGGCCTTCGTCAAGCTCTCTTGGGAGTCGACTTTTGAAGGTATGGTTGGTAGGCGCCTCCATTTCCTTTTGGACACCCACTTCCATCCATCCATTCCCTTTCTCCAATTTTTTTCAATCTTGTCGGTGTTCCCGAGGATGACGGCTCGGAACAGGAAGGCTAGGTGTGAAGCGTGGAGCGATGGAGTGAGGGCTCGATGAATAAATGCGTTAGTGGGGCGAAACATCGAAAGCTCTGCGCTTCAATCGCTTCTTGCCAACCCGATCGATGGTCAAAGAAAGCTTTGGCTGCCGCCGCCGTCGCCGCCTCCTTCTTCCACATTTCAGACTCTATCGCGATTGGCGCCGCAACCCGAAGGATGAGTTACTGTCAAGCTGGATCCGAGCCCCACCAACAACGCCCTCGCTGGCTGTCGAAGGGATGACGAACGCGAAAAGGTGATGAGTGAACCTTGAAAGAAGAAGCGCTAGGTTCAACTCTTCCATGGCCCAACCGTGAGAAGTTGATGAACAGGTTCTTGCCAAGTTCGACGTTCAAGCTGCCCCCTACCCCCCTTATCGATCCAGCACTATCGATCCAGCCCCTTCCATCCAGGTCGTTTGGGCTCTCATGTGGCTTGGCTCCATGTCATCCGTGAATTGGGAACGCTTTGGCCGCTCGATTGGATTCTGATCGCTACAGGGGTGGACCACCGTCAGAAAGGGCGGGGGGGGGGGGGGGAAGTGGACGAAGGTGGGAGAGAGGGGTGGAAGAGAGAGAGAGAACCCCTCATCGACTCTGAGCGGTCCATGCCCATCCCCTTTCCCCCCTTCAGGGGGTTTTAAACTCGTCGGTCTGCGAGGGTGTATATGTGTGTGTCTCTTGCGGGTAGGTGTGGCCTTCTTCAGAGAGGGGATGGTGTCGAGTCGGCATC